GAAAGGGGAAAGGTTCAAGATCCCCTGAGCAAATTGAGAGCATGGGAAGACGGGGAGGAAGCTAGGAGAATGAGAAGGGAAGAAGGGAGGGGTGAGGAGGACATGAGGGAGCAGAAAGGTTGAGTCAGGGGAAGAATAGAAGATAACAAGAATGGAGATGTCATAATAGAGGGAGACATTTTAGTTTTATAGAGAAATCAGGCACGAGGGAAATGTCTGGAGATCTACAAAGATGACACCAGCTAACAATCTAAGCAACAGAGGAGAGGCTACCTTAAATGCTCTCCCGTGATAATGAGATTGATGACTGACTTATATGCCATCCTATAGCCTTCATCCAGCAGCTGGTGGAAGTAGAAGCAGACACCCACAACTAATCATTGAACTGAACTGGAATCCAGATGCAGAAAAGGACGAGTGAAGAGCAAAGGGGTCCAGACCAGGCTGGAAACCCACAGAAACAACTGATCTGAACATGGGGGAACTCTTGCTCCCCAGACTGATAGCTGGGTTACCAGCATGGGACTGATCCAGACCCCAGGAACATGGGTTTCATTGAGGAAACCCCGGAAACCTACTCTCTTCCTACCCCAAGGGGCAAAATCACACAGAACTGGGGCTCTTAAATGGATCTGGAGGTGACAGATTTGACAGAGCTAAGGATGGAGGGATGAGTGTTCTGGCCTTAATGCAGGTTCTACATGTGATATGTTTGGTTGTATTTTTCTATCAGAACAGTGTTTCTTAAACCCTTGGGATTTCCTGACAGGACCTCCTTTGAAACACATCAGTTTATGCTAGGGGAATGACTTTGGGGGTGGGGGGTGATTGTCAGAGGAACCAATCAGGTGATTAGAAGGTTGGAATTTTCAGCAAACGTCTACCTCTGGAAGGATTTGACATTTAGTTAAGTGATCAAAGGCTAATGATTTGATAAAATTTGCCTACATAATGGAACTCCACAAATACCTCTAAACAACTGGGTTCAGACATTGAAGATGCTGGGAGGCAGGTGTGTCCAGAGAAGGCCAGAAGGTTTACGACACTACCCTGTCAAACAGCTCACCCTTTATCATTACCATTTGGCCCCTCCTGAGCTGCATGCTTCTTAAAGTTGTGATCCTAAGTAAATTACTCTCCTGTGTTCTGAGAGACAGCTATTGAACCTGAGGAGCAGCTTAGGGTAACCCCTGCATGGCTAACCAGTTACAAGTACAGGTGGCCCTGATATGGGATTGGTACTTGAAGTAAAAGATCATCTTTTAGGGCCGAGCCCCTAACTTCTCGGAACCTGACATGTAGCTATTATCAGAGTGGAACTGGACTGGAGTTCCTCAGTAGTGCCAAGTCTCTCCAGGTCTAGACAGTTAATGTTTCTCTTTTCCTAATTAATGTGATTGAAACAGATGCCACCTCTGATGGGAGGTAGAGAGGTTCAAGCCAGCCTGGCAGTGAGGTGTGAGTGGCAGCCAGCTGACCAAACAAGGGCTATTGTGTGTCACACTGACCCGGGCTGGCCACCTGAGCACAGCCAGCAGCAATTCTTCCTTCCTGCAGAAGCCTCGTTCCCACCTGAGATGCCCGGAGAGAAACCATGAGCTCAGAAAAACACCATATTGTTCTGTGATGTCACCTCTGGAATGTTCTGAGTGTTTTGGTGACCAGCTTATGCATAGGACCTATACCTGGCACCTCACATTGGTATGGCTTTTTACTTATATAGAAATCGTAGTGTAAAACCAGGAAGAGCTGCAATGATTTCTTCTTGTAAGAGGGCTTCATATCAGTTCATTCCTGTCTTGGTTTTTTGTTCAGTGATCAGTGTCGATCAGTTCCTGATCACTGAGCAGTAAGACTTCTGGCCAGGCGCCATGTACACATGCCTTGAGACTGTGATTTTTATAAGGTATAAAATTAGTCAGAAGGACATAAATGTGTAGAAAGAGGTTATGTGTTTCAGGTGAGCCACTGAGGCCCTGAGGATGGGTTGAGAAGGAGAAATCTGATTCTTTCTTTTTCACAGCACTCGAGGCCAATTTTTACAAGAAAGAGAGATACCAGATCTGAAAGCCTAGAAATTCCAATCAATGTGGTTCTACCTCAGGTAGGGACAATCATGGAAGAATGTAACTTGCTAGAATAACCCTGTTTCCAAGCCTTACAGAATGAACAGCGAAGTCAGCCACTCAGATTCTTGTCATGTTGGTGTTGTTTTCCTGCCCATTTGTCTTGAGGAGGACACATGGATTCTCTGAACCTTGGGGTCCTCTGGCCTTGAATGAGGAGACTGAGTTGGATGGTCAGGTCCTCCAGCACTAGCCTTTCAAGATTTGTTGATACTATGACAAAAGTCTAACCTTCCCAAAGGAGACCCTTCATTGCATGGTAGTGTATAACCACTCAGGACATCTGTAGAGAACTAGAGTCAACCTTGAATCCAGATGCATAAGAATGAACACAGGAGCTGAAACCCCAGAATGGAGCCCACTTGCAATGGTCAAGAGGATTAAGCCCTGCCATGGGCCAAAGATGGTTTACTGGGGATGAATGTTCACTTGTTTCTTTTGAAGCCAGTGAATGATTAAAACACTTATAGCTTGTGGTCTCCAGATCTCCTGCACACAGCAACTTTCTCAGTGGGACCCCCTTTTACTTGAGTGTTCCTTCTGTTGCTATGTCACAAAGGGGTGGCCTTGCTTTCTCCAGTGTTACCCAAGAGCTCATTGGAAGACCAGGGTCATGCAACCAGTGGAGGAGAAATGTAGGATGGAGGGATCCAAGGCACAGGTAATTTCCCTAAAAGTTTGGTCTCAGGAGGTATGTACAAAGAGGATGGATCTCTGGCTGGTGTTCTCTATTAGTGTAATTATAATGAGCTCAGCAAATATGGTGAGAAGGAGACAGAAACACAGGACAAGAGAACCACCTGGGTATTTTTTTTCCTTACAGCATTGTAGTAAGCAGCCACAGTTACATCTCTTTCAGCTCATGATAGCTAAGCCAGATTATTAGGCAACTATGTCCTGGGCATCCTATAGAAGAACAAGGAACCTTGCTAGGTCTGATCCCTGACACATAAACTACACATCTGTGCATGAGGGTGGCCGTGGTTCCTTTGGTACCTTTATTAGCCCACATGTTAGGGGCAGACAGGAGATACCAGCCCAGATGTGGGAGTGGGAATGGGGCTGGGAATAAGATTTGAAAGTAGGTGTATTACTTGCTGTTCACATTGTTGTGACCAAATACCTGGCAAGAAGCAAGTTAAGGGAGGAAGTCTTTATTTTGGATCTTGGTTGAGGGGTAAATCTGTTGTGAAGTGGAAGCTATGGGGTGGGGCCGCTGCCTCACATCACTGCAGATCCATGTTTTTCTCAGTCCAGGATGCTAGTTCATGAGCACTGTAAGACCCTTGGAAAGCTGAGGCTTCCAGAATCTTAGCCCAGGACCTCGGCCACCCCAATCACAGAATGGAGGCGAAAGCTAGATGCAAATTGCATGAGGCTTTATTGTAGTTTAACGAGCTAACACCATGTTAGCTCGGGTCTTTGACCCACCCACCATGGCAGAGGGGAGTGTTTAGGGGTATGTTTAGGGGTATGCACAGGCTCAGGATTGGTGTGCCTCCAGGCTTGGAGGGTTTGCCCTGTGTTGATTGGTCAACTGGCTGTTATGGCCCATAGGCCCTCCCAGGGTGGTTGCTATGCTTTGTGCGTCATTGCTGTGCGCTTGTCCATAAAGCACACCCAGGGTCATAAAGCATAGCGCTATCAGCTAACTTCTGATTGGCTCCTTGTCACGAGGCAGGCATCTGACTCTCTAGTGACTAAGACAAGGTCATAGAGCACGTGTTTGGTCATTATGGCTGCCAAAAGGGAAGCTGGTCCCTTCAAGCACTAGCCACATTAAGTATGGGCCTCCCCTCTGTTAGTCCTTCCCCATAAAGTCCCCACAGACACATCAAGGATGTGTGCCTTGCTAATGCCCTGGGTGTTTCTTAATCTAGCAAGCTGACACAAAGCCTTCATTACTGCCATGCCATAGAAAGATTAGAAAGATCCATCTACCCCTGGCATGACTTTGTCCCTAGCTCCCAGCGCCAGCTTAGCAGTCAAGGAGAAAAGGTGTTTGAGGAGTCTTGGGTTTGTTCTGGTCCTTTCAGGCCTACTTCCTGTGCTGTGGGACCTGGATCTTGGAAGGCAGAAGAATATGGAAGGAAGAGGTCACTGCTGTCTGGAGATTTTTCATGGCCAGCCAGGCTTAGTCAGCAGTCATCTCTAGGTCACTTAAGTAAGCAGCTGGTGTTGAAAAGCAGGAAGAGGATAATTCTTCAGTGTGGCAACACCTGAAGGAGGAACGAGGTGTTAGTGGTCCTCGGAGGACATCTTGAACATGAAATTTGGGTTTAAGTAGAGGTGCAGAGGTTCACATAACTAAGCAGTCCTGGTCTGGGAGTGGTCCAGCCCAGCATCATTGTGTCATCCCCAGTCTCTTCTGCAGGGTGGTCTGACAAGTTATGATGTGTGAAATGTCTGAGAGACAATCTTCCTTCGGCCTGGCACCAGCCTTCTCAGCCTTTACCTTTTTCAAACATAAGACTACAGCAGAACTTTTTTGGTGTCCATTGTTTCAATAATCTGATATCTAGAAGGATGGACTTAAGAATCTCTTTAGAATATCTTCATTCCTGCCAGGATGTTACAGGCACAAGTCAGACAACCTGTCAGGATACCCTAGACCGGTCCTCTTGGGTAGGGAAGTAGTTTACTAGATGATGTAAACTGACCCACCCACTTTGGGAGCCCATTCCACATAGAGGGATACTCCCTGAGCCAAGACACATGGGGGTGGGCCTAGGCCCTATCCCAAAGGATAAGATAGACTCTGATGACACCCTATGGAAGGCCTTACCATCCAGGGGGAGCAGAAAGGATAGGTGATAGGTAGGGTTTTAGTTAGGGGTGGGTAGTAGGGGAGGAGGGGAGGGAGCGGGAACTGGGATTGTCATGTAAAACAATCTTGTTTCTAATTAAAAATCTGCAAAAAAAAAAAAAACCCTGACCCCACCCATCTGGCTGTGAGAAGGGCCTATATGCTCATGTACCTCCCCAAATGGGATAGTGGGGCAGGATTATTATGAGAAACAAGGTGAAGAAGAATATCTTGTTGGCCACAGGGCCATGCAAGTATAAGGCAGAGATTTCACAGCTGTTGGAATTGGGAGACTCTGTAGGGAGACACCGTAACCACGCCTCCTAAGGGGTGGTGGCTACAGCTGTGCCTGACCACACCCTGACAGGCATGGTCAAGGTGAGGTCAGGATGATGCATGATGGGTTTTTAAGGAGCTGCAAGGCACGTGGGCTCCCCTTCTCTCTGGCCTGCCTGCCTTGCGGTCCCTGGCATGCTCTGGCTTGTGTTGGCTGGCGTTTATCAGTATAAAAATATCTTAACCTTATGGACTATGGATCACCGGCTCTCCTTATAATACTCAGTAACAAGGACAGAGCTGAGGTTTAACCCAGGTCAGTGTCCAGCCTGTCATGCTATTCAGTGGGTTCAGGTGATGTCTTAGCTCTAATTCTTCTCTTGCTTCTAGAATCTAGTGCATCTTCCCCCCTCATCTAGACTGCAACTGCTAACCCCCAAGCTGCCAGTATGTATCTGCTCCAGGTAGCTTCATTCTGAGTTGAGTTCATTCTCTTTGGAAGGGAATTATAACAGTACCTCTGTCTCCTGCTCTACTGGTTGGCTGGAGTTCTCGATTGCACTGCAAATGCTATGATTCACTAGTTATCACCTTTAGGTCTTTTCAGGTCTTATTGATTTCACATTTTTCTTCCTCACATTGAACACGTTTTTTCTTCTAGCACATTAGCTTGCAAGCCATAGTGTTATTTCCTGTCCAAGCAACTGATCTCCTTCTATACACAGACTCACTTTTCCAGGCATTCAAGCTTCCCCAGTGAGCTGTTTCCTTTAGACATTGTTAGTGCTAGATTGTCAATGAAAGATTAGCGTTAGATCGTCAAGGAGAGATCTCTGTCTGGATCTGAATGCAGCTGACAGTACTTCCTAGTGCCCACTCCATTTCCCTTTATTTTTTCCTCCTTCCTCTTTGGCTCACAGCAATGCCAACTGAAATAGCTTCAGAGCAAGATTTTAGGAGAGTCATCAATTAGCTAAGATGATTACATCGGACATCTTTATTCTCTTTGCTGTTAGCATTAAAAATATATCAAAACCAATCATATTTACCTTGTTAGCATTTAGTAAAACAAACAATGTCTTTGGCTATTTAGCATAGGTGAGAAAGTTTTTTGGGTTTTTTGTTTTTATGACAGCAGCACTCAGCTGTGAAGGTTTTTCCTTCTAGGACCCTGGTGCCCTTCAGTTTCACATGCATTAAAAGTGCTTCAGCTGGCTGAGCATTCCCTACTGTTAACACTCAATAGTGTTGACGAAGCAGGTGCTTTAGAAGCTTGGTCAGCCATCTTGGGCTTCCTGGGAGCATGCGGATGTTTCTTCTGGGTGATGGTATCTACATCTTTCATGTAGGGGAGAGAAAGAACTTCAGTGCTGTTTCCTCAGTTTTCTGCTACTATAGCAAATGTCCAATGACAGACAGTTCACAAAGAATGAAGAGCATGGCACTATTCTAGCACCTGGTCATTATTTGGCAAGGGCCTTTGTGTTGTGTCCTACCATGGTGGAGGGCATCATTTGGTGAGATACACAGCAACTACAGAGAGCTCACTTTATAACAGACGTTCCTGCAACAGCCCATCACGATCCATCCACATTGAGAAGGTCTCACTTCCCAAATACCATTAGTATTCGACTTTGGAGGTCAAGTTCCCAGCACATGAACTATAGAGGACACACTCAAATCATAGCAGTGCATGTCAGCTAAGCCTGGATGTTCACTGTCTAGTCCCGCTCCCAAACTCTTTAGGCAGAAGGCCACCTAACCCCAGTAACTCCATCCGAGAAGATTTCTCCTTGAGAGTTCTAGTCTTTAGAAATCATACAGTACCAGTAAGAGACTCTGGTGGTATCCCCTCCCTTTCCCCATTGCCTTTTGTTCCCTTTGTTCAGTTGGCTGCTCTGCTGTTTTTCAGGGTCGCTGGAAATCACAGTCATTGGTGATTTAAAGCATCTTCATTAGAAATGAAATACCAGGAGGGGCCAGGCCTATGCTCAGGAAGGAGTCCAGCCCATAGGCAGTTTCAGGCACCAGTGAGGGCCATGTATGTACCCAGGGCTCTTCCTGGATCCCCAGCACTGACACTTCGTTGGGCCACAGCTATGAGTATACTACCCTGGCTCCTGAAGACAGTCTCTTGATCATCTTTCTAACACCTAATGGGGGAGGTATGATGAGCCTCAGAGTCACCTGTGCTCCCCTTCCACAACTTCATTCCCTGAAAGAGCCAACTTTGTTCTTTTTCACACACTGTTCTCCATCTCTATGGGAGAACATGTCCCAAAGACCAAGAAGAGACATTCCTTCATTGACTGAATCTCCTAGGATCAGTAGAACCCCTTCATGATGTTCCAAATACAGATAGAAATCTTGTCAAGACCCAGGTCATCAAACAGATTAGATCAGCCAATGGAAGAAATCTGGGAATATCATTGACCTGGCCCAAGACCCCTACGGAGAAGGGCAGGACTCTTGAGTGCCAGTTAAAGGAGACTGGGGTCTTGAATCTACATGTATTTGCTCAGCTTTGTTGCTTACATTTTGGCAGAGCCTTTTGTAAAGCAATACATTCAGATTTCATAGTAGTTTAGAACAGGAGTTTCCAAATATTACCAGTGGGACTCTCTTTTTGTGTGACATCTTGTCTACCACTTGTTCTCTTATGAACCTAGGAAGCAGGCACAGCAGCCATGAGCAGGCTCATTTTTAGAGGTGATGGAGAAACAAGAACTTCTCAATGGGACTGAGTCATGGAAGTTTTGAGATCAAGGCTCCTGGGGCTTTGGATTCTAGGTTCAAGATGATGAAATGGCTGCTGTCCTGGCTTCATTTCTGTTGCAGTGATGAAATGTCCCCAATATGAACATCTTAGGGGAAAAAGGGTTTATCTGATTTACAGGTTACATCCCATCACTGAAAGGAAGTCAAGAAGTTGAGACTACTAGTTACACCCACAGACAAGAGCAGAGGGACGCTAATTGCATGCACTTTCCTAGTATTTAGCTTATTTTCTCCACTCTTACATAGTCTAGGACCCAAACCCAGGGTATGGCACTACACACTGTGGGCTGGATCTTCCCACATCAAGTAACCCAATTTAGAAAAAACAAAAAACAAAAACAAAAACCTCGAAAATAAAAGAAAAAGAAAATCCCTCACAGGTATTTCACAGGACAGCCCAATCCAGATAAGTCTTCATTGAGAATCCCCCACCTAGATTGTGATTCTAGATTGTGTTAAGTCATGACTGAAACCACTCATCATGGATGTTCAGTATGGTGTATGCAGGAAGCAGCCTTTAAAGGGGTGGCTTTTAGATTTTGGGATATTTCAATATATAGATGGAGACAGAAGGAAGGGAGGTTTCTCAGGGAATGGAGCCCATGCAAAAACATTAAATCCATATGATATGTAGATATCATATACAACTCATAATAATTTTATGCACTATTTTAGTGCACCTGTTTCTTTGCATGAAGGCAGGTGTAGGATTTTTCACTTGTGACATCATGTGGATGCTCACAAAGATACATATTTTGGAGCACTTTGGAACTGAGATTCTCCAGGTTAGGGATGTTCCAGGTAAGCTAAAATAATATTTCAATTGCCAGTGTTGTGAGAATTAAGTGAATTATATAGGTCAAATGCAACCACATAGCCAGCTTGGCAGCCTGCAGATGCCTGCAGCTGCAGCTCTGAGGGACCTGACACCCTCCTCAAGGAGGTGTAGTCATCCCAAGCTAAAATTTTAGAAACTGAAATTCATACAACTTGCCCAAATTCTTATAACTGATAAGTAACAGGACTGAAGTTGAAGAGGAAAAAATGTTTGACTTTAAAATCCATGCCTTTAATTTCTAACATATGATTGGATCTTATTATCTGTGGGTTTTCATTTTTTTGAGACAGGGTCTTTCTCTATGCAGTCCTGGTTTGCCTGGAACATGCTATGTAGAGCAGGATGGCCTTGAAGTTCTGATTACATTCCTATCTGCACTGCCTCCATATAACGGGGTTAACAGGCCTGTGCAAGGCATAGCTCATTATTCATAGACTTTATAGTTATGAATTTATAGACCTTTGACTATCACGGCATTAGTGCCCATAGAATACTTGTGGTCATTCTTGGATCTGTAGAGAGTCTGTGGGAGTGTACACCCAAGAACTGGCCTCCAGGCACCCCTTGTTTGAACTCTCATCCTGGAAAATAGTGTCCTGTTTGCAGTTTATATACCACTACATTTTCTGAAACCTGTGCTTCCTATTGGTGGTTTCCTTGCTTAAAGTGGCATCTACAAACCCTGTTAAAGACTGTTCCTAATTACAGTGTGCCTGTGCTGTGCCTCCCGGAGCAAGCTTGTTAGATAAGCTCTGCTCAGGCCGGGTGCACCCACTGCCAATCTACAGATCCGTGAGGGTGTCTTTAAACAGAAACAAGGATCAATTACCAGAATTTTTATGACCAGAACCTTATAGGAACCTAGCCCAGCATCTCCCCTAGGAACCATGGTTCAGTATTCATTAATTCAAGAAGAAAGGTATTCAGAATAACAAAGGCTGGCTGTATTTCCTTGTGAGGATGCTCGGAGGTCAGGTGCGGGGTGTGTGGGGGGGTCCTCTGGGCCTCTTAGTCTACCAGCAAGCAGTCCTTTACTAGTTCCTGTAACAGTTTCCTTGCTCTCTCCCACAGAGGGGCACCACTGAGCCCTTCCTGAGGTTGCACAACCTGTACAGTATTCCTCGCTGCTCCAGGCAGACTGCCTTGCCCCGAATGAGTCGCAGGGTAGTCAGCCAGCATTCCTACCCACTCAACCGCTTCTCCTCTGTGCCCTTTGACCCCATGGAGCGCCCCACCTCCCAAGCTGACCTGGAACTGGACTACAACCCTCCCAGGGTGCAGCTCAGCGACGAGATGTTTGTCTTCCAGGATGGGCGCTGGGTGAACGAGAACTGCCGCCTGCAGTCGCCTTACTTCTCTCCGTCCTCCTCTTTCCATCATAAGCTGCACCACAAGAGGCTGGCCAAGGAGCACCTGCTGCAGGAGGAGAACAAGTCTCTACGGGATGAGAACCGGGCCCTGAGGGATGAGAACAAGGCCCTCCGCAAGGAGAACAAGATACTACAGATCTTTTGGGAAGAGCACAAGGTCACTTTGGGCCATGAGGAGAACCCATCCTCCTCACCACTGATGCACAAGGACACAGCCTCCCAAGAAGTGGTGAAAAAAGACAATGTCACCTTGCCTGTCCAGCGTAGCAAGGAGAACACCCTGCAGCTCATTCGAGAGGAGAATCGGGCCCTTCAGCAGCTGCTGGAGCAGAGACAGGCCTATTGGGCCCAGGCAGAAGACAATGCAACTTCTGCCGAGGAGGGCAAGCCCACCTCCTCACCCAAGGAGGAGCCCCATAACCCTGGGCTTCTGCCAGAACAGAGTCCAGGCCTCTCCTCCCCATTTGAGGAGCACAAGGGGCCGCCTCCAACACAGGAGGACTCTAAGACACTGCGTGCCCTGAGGGAGATGGTTAACAACTTATCTGGACCATCTGGGGAGGAGGAGGGCAAAGTAGGCCCCAACCTATCTGACAGCGCTCAACCTCTGCAGCTGCTGAGAGAGATGAACCAGGCCCTGCAGGCCCTGCGAGAGGAGAATAGGCTGCTGCAGGAGGAGAACCGGGCTCTGCACGTCCTGCGTGAGGAGCATCGAGTCTTCCAGGAGGAGAACAAGGCCCTGTGGGAGAACAACAAGTTGAAGCTGCAGCAACGGCTGGTCATTGACACGGTGACTGAAGTTACAGCCCGTATGGAGATGCTTATTGAGGAGCTGTATGCCTTCATGCCGGCCAAGAACAGTAAAGATCCCAAGAAGCCCAGTAGGGTCTGAGGCCTTCTCAGCTGACATAGACACAGATCAAGCACAGCACAGGAGGCCAGAGAGAATCCCCAGCCTCCCTATGTCTTCCTCACCTTTGTCACCCCCAGTGCATGCCTGTGGAACAGCAGAGAAAGGGCCATCCTACACCCAGAGACACACAATAAAGGCAGAGGAGGCTGGGCCAGCCGACACCAGTGTGGAGTTTTGGCTTCTTGTCATCTGTCTTCATTACTCTTTTAACTTCCCACTTCCTCTTCTGCTTCCTGTCCTCCTCTTTCCTCCTCCTCCCTCACCAACCTTCTTGTCCAACCCCCCTTCCTCCTCGTCCAACCCCTATGCCTTTTCTCCCCCTCTATAGACTTAGCTGGGTATGGTGGTACATTTCTGCATTCTTAGGATTCAGGAGACTGAGGCAGGAGGATTGTGAATTTAAGGCTCTAGCTAGGCTACCATAGTAAAAGAGGAAGGGGCTGAGGTCAGGCACGTGACATGGGGTGATAGACGATGACTTTAGTCTTTAGAGCAAAACTGAGCTGAAAGTCAAAGTTCCTGTAGACCTCTGCCCATACTCATCAACGTCCCCTACTAAGATCTATAAGAATTGATGAATCTACATTGACTCATTATTAGCATGTAAAGTCCACAGTTTGTTAGGATTCTCTGGCTGAGTTCCTTAGACCTTGAGCCAGGAACCGTAACCCACCCCTCTCCTGGAGGTCCTGGCATGTTGGGAGTCTCAGTATCCTTAGAACCCTATATGGTGGGCATTCTCATCTCTAAGACATGAGAACAGGAATTCTAAGACAGTCACCAACTGACAGGTAGGAAAAGCCAAGTGGGGACTCGTACCGCAGACCAAGTCAGGCTCCTCCATGGCACTCACTGCTGGTTTCCTAGTCTCTAAGCATTAAAGGTGTTTTTGGTATCTGTTTTCCAGATTTAAGAACTTGACAAGTCTCACCCCCAGAGCAGCATCAGAAATCCCAGAGGAGGGGGGACAATATGAGAGGTTTTCCTCTCACTAGTCAGTGGCACATTTGCTCTGCACCCAGGGTAGACAGTGACGGATGTACAGGAGGAGGCTAGTCATTTATTCTACTAATGTCACCTGAATCTGAAAAATGTGTACTGGCTGTTGATGGTCCTCTGGGCCTTAGTAGTTTTTCCTTCTCTGTTTGTTCAATTAATTCATCATTCAGGGGACCATAAATATCAAACCTGTTTAAGTCAGGGTACTAACCCCAGGGTGTGTGTGTGTGTGTCGGGGTGTGTTACTTTTGTGTTTTGATGAAACCATATCGATTCTGTTATGCTGCACAACGGGAAGACAAAAGACACACTCTTCTAAGGTTTGTGTTCCCAGTATTTAACTTGGGTTAATCTACATAACAGCGGTTAAATGTTGTCTCATGAGTTGACAGTGCTCAGGGAACTTAATACTATTTAGCCATGTCAACTTTCTCTGTTGGGCAGAATCTAAATGGATGAAAAAAAAAAAAAAGCCAGACAAGCCATAAGTTGCCATTTTTATGGTGTGGGGGAGATTTATTTCACAACATTGCTTCATTGTATAGCACAGAGCAATCTGTCAGATTGCCAGCACTCTAGTGGAATCTAACTTATAGTGGAACAGTGAGAAAGTTCACTTTTTTAAATTTTTACTTAATTTTTTTTTAATTTTATGTGCATTGGTGTTTTGCCTGCATGTAGATCTATGTGAGAATGTCATATCTTGGAGTTATGGACAGTTGTAAGTTGCCATGTGGTTGCTGGAAATTGAACTCGGGTCCTCTGGAAGAACAGTCAGTGCTCTTAACCACTGAGCTATCCCTCTAGCCCCTTACTGTTCACTCTTATAGGTATGCCTCTAGTCTAACACTAGGCCCTTGAGAATAGCTGAAAGCTTTCTCTTGGCAAGGTAGATCTTAGAACTGAGCCTCAAGCTTTGCATTTGGAGAGGTAAACATTCCACCTTTCCTGACTTTTATCACTTGGTCATTTGCTTGGCTGGGTTTCTTGGTTGCTACAGTTAATTACATTCTTTGCTGAGTTGGCTGGATCCTGTCCATAGGATTATCTGGCTATAAGTTGAAGGTCAAGGTCAACTGAGAACATACACAGTCTGAAACAGCTAGCTAAGTAACAGAATATCCCCCCCCCAATAATTCATGGGGCATATTCTAAGAGGTAAACAATGATGCAAGATGCATCACTGTATTACTTTTTTATTATAATGAAACAAAGCTACACACTTATTTAAAACAAGTTTATCTACATTACAGTTGTAGAAATTCCTAGGGCATAGAGCTAGCCTCAGGGCAGCTCGGGTAAGGACTCAGAGTGGATAACAGCTCAAAGAAGAAGTACACATGAAGATATCAAATGACTTTGCAGGAAGCCAAAGAAGCTGTGGCATAGCCTGACTGTTCTTTTATAACAATCTTCTTGAGACCTAACCAAAGGGTCTCACAAGAACTGAATTTTCCCAGGGATCCTGTTTTAGTCACTTTTCTTTTGCTGTGGTAGAAGACATGGCCAAGGCAATTTATAGAAAAGTGCATTTGGGCTTATGGTTCCAGAGGAATGTAGTCCATAATGGCAGAGGCAGTGTGGCAGGAAGCAGTAGGTAGCAAGGCATGGCAGCAGGCCTAGTAAACTGAGGGCTCCCATCCTGAACTGTCAACAGGAAACAAAGCATGTGAAGTGGCTCAAGGATTTAAACTCTCTAATCCCTTTCCCAGGGATATACTTCCTCCCAAAAAGTGCACTTCCCAAGTCTCCCTGAACATCGCCGCCAACTGGGAACCAAGTGCTCAAATGCTCGAGACTAAGGGGACACTTCTCAAACCACCACAGGCCCCAGTGACCCAAGAATCTTCCACTGTGTTCTGTAACCAGGCATGAATTCACATCTCAGTGAGGGCAAAACCCAAACAAGCACGACCAGGAAATGAAAGAGTGGGGGAAGATGTATATGACCTTTAGCCGGTAAGGAGAATATGGGGATTATTTCCAAAGCAATCAATGACCCCTTAAAGGAAGCACGAGGATAGTTTCTTGGAAGTCTACAAATGGAAAGCACTATAGGGACAAGTACATTCCTGAGCATACTTCTGGGCATGCCCAGTTTAAGGTCATATAGAAATATATGAAATATAGAGGCTATATCAGCATGCATAGCTCAAGGTTATGGAGTATGTGTTGAAAAAGTTAAAATGTTGGACAGGAACACTCAGCACATGCTGAGTTTGTGACTCAAAAACATCAGGAATGCCTGTGGGCATGATCAGTTTTCTCCAGAAATTAAAAAGATATTAATTTAAAACAAAAGGAAATGATCCTTTGTTTGTGCTTTGATACAGGGATTTGTCCTTACATGTTCATGACAAGCGTAGTATTTAACATTCTTATCTCTTAAAGGTCTCCCAACCCCATAATGCTGCCACTTTGTACACCAAACTTCCCCATGGATAAAACACTCAAGCTCCATTTAAATGGATAGTCGTCCTGAGCTTTGTTGAGTTCACAATGAGAATCAAATCAGAAAGACTCTGTGGGAAAGCCTTAGTGAGCAGATTCTATTCCTGAACTCTTTTTTAAATAATTGTAATTAGACGAATTTTAAATTAGAAACAAGATTCTTTTACATGTCAATCCCAGTTCCCTTTCCTTCTCCTCCTCCCCTGCCCCCAACTGACCCCCTATATCAACCCCTTTCTGCTCCCCAGGGGGGGTAGAGGCCTTCCATGGGGGATCTTCAGAGTCTGTCATATCATTTGGAGCAGGACCTAGGCCCTCCCCCGTGTGTCTAGGCTGAGCGGGTATCCCTCTATGTGGAGTGGGCTCCCAAAGTCCATTCATGTACTAGGGATAAATACTGATCTACTACCAGAAGCTCCATAGATCTCCCAGACCGCCAAACTGACATCCTTGTTGGGGTGGGGGGTTGGGGGTGGGGATCCGGAACAGTCCTATGCTGGTTTTTATTCCTGAACTCTTGTCTTTGCTCTGGAATCTCCACAAACTAGAGCCACTTCAGTCTTCACAGAGTCAATGCTTGCCCGGTGCTACGCTTGAGAAGCATGGGAATCATGGGAGAGAAGAGAATGATGGGATAAAGTCCCTAATGGAGGATCTCTAAACACTTCTCAATGAACAGTTTATTGTCTTCGGTTGAGTTTCAGATGGGAAAGGACTCACCGTGAAGCAAAGCCATTTTCATGCATTGCTGAGAGCTGCTGCTGGAAATTGGTTTTCTTCCCATTCATAATTTGGAGCCTCACTTGGCTTGTGTGTATTTCAGCAAACTGGAAGTTGGTGCTTAGATCTCCCAACTCTTCAGTCACATGCAGGTCTTCTCCAACCTGGGCTCTTATCAGTTCCTTCCCATTTGTTCACTCCAACAAAGGCCTTTGTAACCTTGCAACCAAGAACAAAGTTAGGAGTGGGTGACATTATTCTTTGTGCTGTCAGGACAAGTGGTGGTTTAATTGGTGGCACTTTCTCTGTAAGCCTGCTTTTATTCTTTGCAGACAGCTCATCCCATTTGGAAATTCTTCTTCCCTTGGAAACATCAAGTCCAAATCATTTGTTAAGAACTGAGTCCTTTGCTACTCTGGGAATGTCTGGTGAGCTACAAAAGAATTTCTTGGTGATCAGTTACTTTCTGTGGAGCTTCTGGATGGTTCTTACCTGTGCTGTCTCCTCCTCACCCATACAGTCACTGGCTAATCATTTTCTAAATCTTCTAAATCTAGATAGCCCTAGAACCTTCTGCTTCTCTCTATTCACACTGGTCAAATCCAGTTCTTGTCAAGGTCATCTGCTCGGTGACAGCTGCAGTTATTTGCTATGTGTTGATATTTCCTTAGAATTAGTTCTAGCCATTCTCCATGTTGTAACTAGACTGATCTTAAATGTGAAAATATAATCACGCTATTTCCTTCCTTAAAACCCATCATTCTCTGTCCATGTCTTTCGGTTGAAACTTTACTATGGTCTCTGACTTA